AAGCACGCTTCGTCGTTTCTCTATCACATTGTACAACTGTATGCCGTTTTTCTGTATCTTCCGAACAGTCTAGAAACTAGTCAGTTCATCATCACCAACGTCGAGAAAAATCCGATGGACGTTCGCTACGCCTGAGAATTCTCTCTTTCTTCGTGAAAATCTCTGTAAGTTAACGGCTTTACAACATTCCCGGCGAAGATGAGCGACGGAGATGGTGCGATTCATCCGTCAAGAGACGGAGGAAGAAAAGGCGATTGAGATCTCTCTGTCTCCACTGAAGAAGTACGTTTCCTTCTCATCTTCCATTTTTCTCTCAAATTCGAGAAATTGATCAATTTCAATGTTTGTTCAGTGACTACTCAGTGCAGCTTAAGGATCAATGTTCTTCAAGGACATGATGATATTGTCAATGCAATGAAAGATAAAGTAGCGATCAGTATGCATATACCAACAGTTTTGATTGTTCAGGTTTGTACTTGGGGGACAAAGTAGCAAGTATAGCAGATGAGTGAGAGAAGATTCAATTCGAATTTGTAAAGTACATAATTTTGGATCATAAGACCCAAACATTTATTCAGGAGACCCGTTTTCTAATGCGGATTCCGACTTTGGTAGGGTTCTAGTTACAGTAGCAGATGGCATTTTACTTCCACCAACCCATCTGGTCTCTAAAACTTCACCATTATTAGCTTCTCTCTCCATCATCACTTGAATCTTCTTCGTTCTTAAAACCCTAATCCCCATTGTACCCACAAACCCTAGCACTCCTATACCTAATACAAATCCCACGATCCACAACCACCACCATTTCCGCCACAACTTGACCTTATTCTTACCGTTCTCTAAGGGCTCAATCACCGAGTAATCTCCGTGGTTCGAACCGTAACACACTCCCGGGAGAACCATTCGGCTGATGTGAGCTGCTTCCTTGTCTTCGGTCTGTGCCTTGAAGCTCACGCATTTAACCCTAGACAGCATTTTCTCGTCAGAGTCTTTGAGTAAATCCCTAAACGAGATTTCTACACGATTCTCCATCCTTAGACTAATCTCTTTGGCATTGTCTTGATCAGACACATCCAAAACCCTAAACCCTAAGACAGTAGCTATTAACCGGTAACCGGGTACGGTATACCAATGGTTAGACCAATTACCTAGATCTTGGTACACAATAGCAACTCTCCTTGCAGGAGGAACCGAAACTGACCTTGCAGGTATAAGCACATTGCTGAACTTGGCCCCGAAGTTCCAAAGGCTCTTCCCGGTGAGACGGACGATGGAGACTTCGATGCCGGATAAATTTTCCGGTAAGATAGCCCGGTACAGAGCACCGGTATGATGTTGGTTGGATAACGTCTTGAGGGCGAAATTCTCAAGAGTTTGAGATAACGCATGTGGTAAAGTGACATTAAGGATTGAGGTTGTGGAGTTGAAGTGGATAAGAGAAGATGGTGATGTAGAAGAAAACAAAATGGTGTGTAGTAAGAACACAACACAACAAGTGAGAGACTTTGAGTTCATGTGTTCTCTTTCGTGTTTTTTTCTTGCTTTTGTTGTGTCTTTGGGAAAATGCTCTTTAGCGTTAAAGCTAGAGTGTGTAATTGAAAAAGGCATATGTAAATGTAGGACCATAAGTAACTAAATAATGTACCAAAGTCCAAATCTAAATTCGATCGATTGAATGCATATAGGATTTTACTT